CTTTTTAAAACTGACGGAGTCGTGCGTGAAACAAAAAGGTGTCGGCAGTAGGAAGCCATAGATCAAGAGCCTCAGCGCAGTGCTGGACCATTTTTGACTAGCAGAATACCAAACGTGAGGTCGTCCAAAAGTGTTCACTGCTTAACGACGTCGACCGAAGGTGGGCATGAATATCGATAAACGCGGCCTCCCCAACAATGTTTTAAAAAGTAAGGAGCACTCCACAATACCTCGGGCCATGATCGGTAACCCCGCTGAGAGCCCGTTGTAGGCCCGTGCGTCGCATGAGCTCCTACTCACCCTTGGTGCCCATTTTGCCGGGTAGGCCGGGCAGGCCTTGGTCGCCGGCCTTCCCCGGCGGACAGTAATCTGTCGTCGCTGAACAGAACTCCTGCATAGCTCCAAGCTGAAAGCGAATGCCACAACTTATGTGACGATTATACATGGCGAAGTGAGCAGATTGCGCCGCGCCTCCATCGTTGACGGACCATCCGGTGCGCGCTCGGTTGAGCGCGTCGTGCAGTGGAGCCGTCCACGGGGGCAAACCCGATTACGGCGGAATAGAAGGGCTGAACGCACAAGTTTCAGTCTCATTTCAGTGCCGGCAGATGTTCGCAGTAGATAGGTCCGAGGGCGGACCGAGACTGAGGCCGCATTGTTGTACATGTGCTAGAAAAACATTATACAAGTCAGCCCGCCTTTAGCACACAAAAAATGCTTATTTCTAGTATGTTCCCAAAATATTGTCTCCGCGTTAAACATTGCCATACCTAGGCCATGGCACGAGGCGTATGTGGCGGAATGTCTACTGACACCCGCCACCCGACTCTATCCTAAATCCTTTCGCAGCGTCTTGATAAACCAGCATACTCAACACGTCATGCCACGGAATAGGTTTGTCATGGTTAGCGGGTCATCTTGAGAAAAATATGACCTGAAATTCTTCATCCGCGGCTGGAGCCCAATGGTTAGCCTCCCACTTTATGACGGCATTTCAGGGCGCTGTGTGTGCGTGTGTGTGTGTGTGTGTGTGTGTGTGTGTGTGTGTGTGTGTGTGTGTGTGTGTGTGTGTGTGTGTGTGTGTGTGTGTGTGTGTGTGTGTGTGTGTGTGTGTGTGTGTGTGCGTGTGTGCGCGCGCGCGCGCGTGTGTGTGTGTGTGCGGTGTGTGCGCTTGCGTGTGCGTGTGGGGGTGGGTGGGTGGGTGTGGGTATGGGTGTGGCGGTGGGGTGGGTGGGTGGGTGGGTGGGTGTGTGGATGTGGGTGTGGGTGTGGGTGGGTGTGGGTGGGTGTGCGTGCGTGCGTGCGTGCGTGCGTGCGCGGGTGCGTGCGGGCGTGTGTGCGTGCGGGCGCGCGTGCGTGCGTGCGTGCGCGCGCGTGTGTGTGTGGCGAACTGTAAGCCAGACCTGAGGGGAGTTTCCAAGTTCAAGCTGGACGTAGCGACGTTACTGACTGGACTGGCTTACCGACGAGGCGGGACAGCGGTGCTGGATCACCCCCCACGGTCACTTCCCCACCGATGGATCACGGATCAGCTCGCAGAGGCAGATCATGATGTCGATCTGCTCTCGGTGTTCGACAGGTCTGGGAACTTCTCAGCGATCGTGCAGCCCCCGACCCCCTACCCCGACCTCCTTGCCCCTGAATCTTCAGAGATCCGAAAAACGTTGACAGTCATTAGTTTTTGGAAAACTCATTTCAGATTTGGTAACTCTATTTCCTGTAAACAGTTAAACTGACGTTAACATGCGCGAAGCGCAAATTCCGATCCCTCGCTGAAGATGTTTGAAACCACTTGACAGTTTGGATGGAACAAATTCCATTCGATTTGTGGCAACCATATTTTCATTTTTATGCTTTTAATTTGTTTTTTTAGGTAGCGAGCCAGAGGCTAAATAATCTGTAATTTATTATGTTTTTTAAGTCACTGCATCTAACAACCAGTTTGTATGGGAGCTTGCGGCTCATACGCGGTTTATTCTGCAATGTACTGGTCTTTCAGATCTTTAAGTTTAAATGCGAGCTGGAACATCAAGCACAGTTTTAGGATTGAAAATAGGATGTACTAGGTAAAGTGTATAGGATGAACACTTTTGGACGACCTCACGCTTAGTATTTTGCTAGTCAAAAAAGGTTCAGCACTGCACTGAGGCTCTTGATCTATGGCTTCTACTGCCGACACCTTTCTGTTTTACGCACGACTCCGTCAGTCTTAAAAAGTTCACTTCACAAGCGGCTGGCTTCACTCACTCATTTCTAAAATAGTCAAAGGTTGTATTGACAGAAGCCAGGGCAATAAGAATACATTGAAGACCATGTCAAAAAATACCATCCGAACAACCAGCTGACAACGATACAAGTTACTCGAGATTCGGACGGCATTTCATTTTATCACAATGGTGTCACGCTGTTTTCATGGTAGCAAGCATGGTTTCATGGTAGCAAGCATCGTTTCATGGTAGCAAAAAAGTGTGCGCTGTTTTGTTCGTTGTGCGTGATGCGTACACCAGATATATTCTTTGCAAGCTTATTTATAAAGTTTCACATGTTGCGTGAGCAGATCCTTGTAAACAATATGGTGCAATCATCAACATTCATTCACTTCGTTAACACGCGCTCGGGTGGGGTTCGATATGACCCCTCCCCCCCGAAGGCTTTTCCGGAATGGTTTCTGAACGGCGCGGCGTGACCGCACCAAATTTTAGAGAGAAAAAAAATTGCACAGCTGTAGACAATTGAATAGCGGATCGGTTGTTATCATTTGTAAGGTTGCTGACCTATGGCAGGTCAAAGTCAGGCCATGGATTCAGCGAATCCAATTTCTAGGGAATTGTTCAAACTGATGCAACAGCGAAGGGTTAGACGAATCAATATGTCTCTGAGCTACTTTGTTAAGCAACACAACAATTTAATGAGCAAACTCCATTGAACTAGGGTTAGGTATGAAGGTCAGACCAAGGTAAGAAACAACCTGTTCTGTTCTTCTAGCGCTTGCTATATGGTGCAGTTTCTGGTGCTTATTTCGAATTAACTGATAACAGGAACCGTATTATACATCCTCCATGAACTCCTTGAGGTCAGAATAGGCCACTGGCCTAAAATAACCTAGGTCAACATTTTGTGCTCGAAACAGACTTTCTAGCGTAATCTTTGTCGCTTCCTCGAATGCAAAACTTAAAACATTCTTGCATGATTTTGGTCACTGTGAACTTCGAAAAGTCGAACAAGGTCACCGATCTTAAATGAACATGTGCCCTTTTGCCTAGAACAAGTTCTAGGTTCTGAGGCCACTTTAAACGCCAACCCGGAGTTTGACCTTGTTTGACCTTATTTTACCCGAAGTGGATGACCTAGGAACCTCAAAAATTTGATCCAAGTGGGTTCACGTACTGGCCAACACAACCTATGAATTCACTGTTTCTATCTTTCTTAGTTCTTGAGATCTCAGCGGCGGTCAAATTGACCCGCACTCAAGCGAACGGTATCCAACCGGCCACCCGGGCGCGTGTTAACGCATTTGGCCAATCATAAAAGCAGGCTGCAGAAAATCGGTGTGGTTCATCCTTATATTGCATGTATTTTTAATCCACCGATGCTTCCTCGACACAATCTTGATGACAATGTCGACAAGGAAATATTTATCGTATCTGGACAGTAAACTGCATACGGTCAATTACACCTATTTACCATTTATATCTTGCCTTAACATGATGGAATATGAATGTGATATATATATATATATATATATATATATATATATATATGTATGTATGGACTCCCAAGGGCAACGCCACCGAGGGCAGGCCACCCCTCTATCGTCGGACAGAGGGTGACTACCTTTTATCCCACTATCCTACCTTTTGCTACCCTTAATCCTAGTAACCTTCTCGCAAGGCATAAACATGTTCTCCACACGAATGTTCACTAAGAGGCCTATATTCCCGATCATTACCAGTATGAAGCCACCACAATTCTATACACAGATTTAAAGATCATCACGTGCCTGCAGCCTTTGGATGTCATGTCTTTTAGCGGAAAAGCGAAAACTTTATTGTAGTGCACATGCTACAACGCAATATCCTCCATGCCCCAGGTGTAGCTGCTCTTTTCGTACGCTCTCCGTTTATGACTATCACATGCGATGACCACTTCCGCCGTCGCGTTTTTGCAGACGCTTTAGAACGCAAATAGATACAGTACTGCAATTTGGTGATTCCGCACTTTGTATATAAGTGCCTTGCATGATAGGGTCAGCATATAATATTTTCTTATACATCACCGTACTCCAGGTGTGACCATTTGTGCCACAATTTTGATGAATTTTGCTGCTTAAAACATACAGTAACCCAAAATCATTATATCTTGGAACAAACACCTTTTCTGCAGCTTTACTCTCACTAAGGTCCTATTTCAAAGGAAGGCCAGGTGTCAGCCGGTCTCGGCCGGGGGAACGCGCCCGCGGTGTTCATCTTTTCTACCCGAGTGGGAGGCAGGCGACGCCGCAGAGCCTCAGCAACTGAGTGGGTCATTAAGCCCCAGTCACGACGGCGACGGCCGGGGGGACGGAAAACATTTCTCTTAATGCTACTGGGGCTCAGTCAAACAAAAAAGAAATACGGTGGAGTGGAGCGACACGAAATTTGAAGTGCTTTTTGAGTATTATCTGTTTTGTACTCAGGACAAATTGGGAGTTCAAAGCAAGTCACCAACTGGCTGAGATAAGTCTGAGGTCACAGTTTGAAAGTTACAATCACCATAACCTGTTTAGGTATCGACAGATTTGGTGACTATTGCAGAAGTATCCCGTTATGTGTTACATGTCATTTAATGGTGTTATTTCGTCTTAAGTATTATACGGTCTTACGACTCGTGGCGAAATGGTTTTCAGTGAGTATTCCAGCAGTGCCTGACCGAACTGGCGGGAACTAATTCTAAAGTACTGCTTCCGATTGACTGAGAACCTGTGTTTTCTGATCATTACCAATCAAACGCATTCGCAATACGCTTTACATCTTTCGTTTCCTGAAATTCCTTCAGCAGTTGAATACAACAATTGAACTAAGGCGTACGTTATTAGTTCAGTACTTAAAAAGGCTTACTGGTAGCAAATTTTCTGCAGTCATTCCATTTAATCTAGCCTCTGTCAGTAACCCGACCTGCCATGCCGTTTACAATTCCGGATAATATTTAAAGAAATATTAAAAGACATTCTGAGATGTAGCCAAGGACAGGGCAAAGGGGAACAAAACCCCCTGAGCCATGAGGCTTACACTAGGTGCTGGGCGACTTCGAGGAAATTGGTCCAATTTCGCAGGATTTCGGAGGGAATTTGACACCCGGCCTCCGTAAAGAAGATTTTGACTACGCGCCTGAAGAAATGTTCTAAGGATTTTGCGGGCAATGCGGCAT